CACACACACACACACACACACACACATACATGTGTATATTATATATATATATATACACATATTTATTTTTTCTTTGTTCCTTTTTTACCCAGTAAGGAGTACAATATGCATTTTTCTTTTAAATAGCTTGCAATCTCTCTGGACTAACTTTTTTTTGTGGTTTATGCAAGTTTGTTTTATGATTACTCAGTTTTTAAAGAAAAGTTATTGGCGTAATTATCAAAATATTCTTGTGGTTATTTTTGTTGTGTATTTACAATTTCTGTCCGTTCACAAAAAGTTGACAAAAAACAAACACTCAGCACAAATTGTGGGTCATGATTGTCAAACATTGTGACATATAAATTCATCATAAAACACCTTGGTTGTAACTTGACAAAATGTTTAAGGTGTGGAACAAAAATACATTTGAATTTCATTTCGAGTTCCTCTTTATTTAAGTCATCAGATGAAAAAGAAATCTGTTTCGGCTTACTATAATCTCTTTGTATAAAAAAAATATATTTTCTGTGATGAAAAAATAAATATTAAAGACTCGGAGAAAACAAAATGCTTTTGTGCTTTAGTGAACAAAACAGGAGATGCAAATATTTACATGCATGCACAAACCCATAACCCATATGCGTTTATATATAAAGTAATTCTTGCAGCTGTTTCACTGCAACCATAAACTTTTACTGTTTGATAGAATTCATGCACCAAGGGTTTTTCTTGTGTCAGCTAAAAATACTAAAGGCGAGATCATCAGGCAGTTTAACGCCCACCATGCAAACACCCACATGAGTCTCTTCAAAGCCAAAAGTCTAAACGTTTGATAAAAACAAAAGCAGCTCTTTTCTGCTGTGTTAGGTTCACATTTTGTGCTCTTATGTTCAAAACGTTGGATCTTTTTTCTGATCAAGTAAACTGAGAAAATATCTGAATGCTCCTATAGCAGTGGTCCCCAAACTTTTCCCTTCTCTGGTGGGGGGCCGGAGATTGTTGACGGGGGAGGTGTGGAGGAGGGGTTTCTTGATTGATTTTTTACCCAGAAAGCACATGGGCAAAAACCATGAGTGAAACGGTCACTGGGACTAACTAGTATATATTCCATTGAGGGAATGTAACTATAATATGTTAATTTCTCATATGTTAGCATAAAGGCTCGTTTGAAGTATAAGTTGCTACTTACAGGCATTGCGGCGTTCATAACAGACACGTGTGTTCATCTGCTCTAACCACTAGCAAACAACAGTACTGATTACTTAACATAAGTCAAGCAGTTCCCTAAAAGTCCAACAGATGGCAGCAATGCGCCCCACAACTTGGTTGAAGAAAAATCCACATATAAACCGGAAAATACAATAAATGAAAAAAAAATCTGAATGCTCTCTGGTATTGTTCAGGGGGCCGGACCAAATGTGGAGGCGGGACGGATCCGGCCCATGGGCCGTAGTTTGGGGACCCCTGTCCTATAAGAACCAGTTAGATTTGTGAGTTGTGATATTATCTGACATCTTCTGTGACTAACATACAGAAAAAGGAACAATTAGGGCAATACTTTTGTTTATGCAGATAAAGTTTTAGGAAAATAGGGATTTTATTACTTCTCTTTTCAGGTAATTGTATGGCTGTGACTTTATGCCAGAGCATTAATATTTCCAAAAAACAAATACTTCTCTTGAAAAACAACCACTTGTAATACAATTCTTTAGGGCACCAATCATACAAAGAAATGTGACCTGTTTAACTAAATTGCACACATATTTTCACATGTATTGATACTCAAGAAGTGCATAAAATAGTAAAATTAACAATCCAGACACTTTTGGGGTGTTTTAAATGTCAATTGGAATTTATCATGACAATGACAACTCTAAATTATTTTAAGAAATTTATCACGATAAATTAATCAATCCATTAAGGTGGAGTCTTTTACAGCTTTACCTTGAATCAGGACTCAATGTGGGCAACAAAAATTATTTGCATTCAGTCTGCATCTAATCTGAAACTGAAGATACAAAGGTTGAAACATGTCTGCATAAATATTTTGGCTATGACCAGTTTTTTCTCTGAGTGTGGATACATTCAGCTGCAGATGTACTATGACTGAAAGTAATGAAGTGGTAAACATGGGCACATCTTCCGTGTACCGGCCACCATTTGGAGGTTTACCTGTGAGTTAATGAGACGGACAGTTGTTTTGGAGCCAACATCTTTCTCAAAGCCACTGGTTGGAGCGGCGTTGAACCGTAGCACCGCGTCATGAGTGTCTGGGGTTTAATCAAAACACACAGTTTCAGAGGAAGCAAACTTCAGGAGTTACTGATGCAACACATTCATTATGTGTTCAGAAATAGCAAAAACAGGAACCATGATGTGGTTTCATGTCACACAATGTCTTGTGATTCTTCAGAAAGAGTCAACATGTAGCCATTTTGTCTGAACAAACATATTTATGCAGCTGGTTTGGATTTCACAGCTGCAGGTTCATGATTTCATACACAAGCAATGTTTTAAAATTAAATATGCAACCTGTTAAGTTTGGAGGCATATAACATTCATAATTCTGTTAACAAGTTAACAGAATTATAAAGGCAGCTTTTAGCTTGGACCAAAATGTTTTCCCATCAACATATACTGGAGTGAAGGTCATTAAAGTTGGGGTTATAATGATAAATTTGAGTTGTTTTTAATAGCTGGAATTACTGTTTAGCTGCGTTGGGTATGGGTGCACAACATAACCTATTGTGGATTTGATCTCAACACAAGGTCCAAATTTAAAAATGCAGGGAAATATATAATATACAATTTATATTTTTAAGCAAGTTGTCCATACGGATTAATAAAGTTTTCACAATCATGTGAATCAACTAGTTTCAGTCGATCTTGATCATGTATGCTCTGGAAAAGGGATTTTTTTCTCTGGGAAAGTTGATTTTAATGGGCGGTATTTTCCAGAGTGATGTTTTATAACACAATCAACTATGTTACCTGCAGTAATGAAAATGCTGTATATATCAAAAACAGCTTAAAAGACATTTGACTTTGCATCATAGCCATATCCAGCGCCTTGAAATTGGCCTCTGTCTCTTTAAGAACCTCCTACCCTTTCAGACCCTTTCAATTCAATAATACTTTATTAATAGAATTTAAATGTTGTTGTAACTCAATAAAGATTCTTCAGAGTTATTGCAGATGAAATTCAAGGATTCTTAAAACATGCATGAAAGAATGAAAGCAACACTTTTGATGAGAGAATAATATAATATATACCTTAAAGTAGGTTTAGCATAACAGTCCCATTCTAAAGTCACTTTAATGAAAACTGCAACAATGGTGATCATATAGTTTCTAGTTCAGAATCAATCCTTGGTGGTCTCTGAGTTGCTCAGCAACACAAACTTTGTTCATCTGAGCGGAACTGTTTGGGCAGGGTGGTTTGAACTTTGACACAACGGTTCACCAAACAAGACAAAAACTCAAAACATGCTTCAAAAATCCCAACAGAGACCAACTGGAAACCATGTCAATGTATACACTGGATATAATGTAGACATTTTTCTCAGTAGGTTTTATAGGTCTGAATATTCCAGCCTTAGAAAAAGGACCAGAACTCTACTCAGTGTAATTTTTTGACTCAATAGTTTTAAATGCACTGGGTTCTTTCTTCTTTCACCAGTGGAACACCTGGTTCAGCTGCTGCCTAGACATGTTGATAATCCTGATTTCAGGTTAGAATTTTCATTTTGTTACAATGAGACAGCTCACCAATTTCCTTGCCTAGTCCAGAGTTGCGGAGTGACCCTGCAGACGACACCACTGCACAGCTTTTGTATGGCCCGAGGTCAGAGGTCAGCTGTTGTGGCGGTAGCAGCAGGGGAGCCCAGGCCAACGCAGAGAAAGGCTGATGATCAGAAGTCAAAGTGGTGACCTCTACCTTCTCCTTGAGCTGGCAGAGCAGCTCCCTGCCGCTCAGTTTCAGCCGGTTGGAGGTGCCACCAGGTCCAGACACCTTTACGCCGTATTTATTCATCGCCTGGTAGAACGTCCATGAATTATTGCAAGCAATCGCAAAGAAATAAGTTCATCTGATGAGTGAAGAGGCAGCATTAACTCACCTGATAGTTCTGCACCACCTTCTTCAGCCTGTTTCCCAGCATGTTGCTGGACATCTCATCATTCCACACATCTCCTAAAATCCCTTTAGACCCGAAGAACTCAGAGTCGCCCGATTTGCCGCTTAGCTCTCCTTTACGGCGGCCTACAAATAGAGTCTCTAGTGCCCGTGTGAAAGGGCCTGGCAGCAGGTGAGAAAAAAAGCCTGATGACTCTTTTGCTTTTGTTGCTCGTTTCGGTGGAGACTCCCAGTCCTCGTTGGTGTGGTTGGGTGAAGACAAGACGGGGATTGGGCGGTGAGGGTCACCTGCAATTATACCCGGGTGCTTCTGAGGGTCTGCGTAGATTGATTTTGCTCCCCCTCGCAGCACCTGAGCAGGTCACAGAAATGAGGACATACTTCAAGCTTGTTTCTTTATTGTTCAGAGGAAATAAAGATAGTTTATCCAATAAGATAGTTTATCCAATAATATCCCATTATTTGTAAGTTTTTTTGTCCGAGTTTTTATTAGTTTGTCCTGAATCAGTACAGCACACATGCTGTACTGACATGGAGACATGGAGCTTTAATATCAGCGAGAATGAAGAATGGCAACAAACCTTGATGACTGAGTGTGTACGAGGCTGAGCCCTGGTACGTGCCCTCACACCAAAGATGGCGTCTGTGACAGGCACACTGTTTTCAGCACACAGGGCATAAAGAAGAGCCATGGAGATGCAGAAGAAGGTCATGCAGATGGCTCCACGGCGAGCGCGACGCCTCAGACGCCACAGCAGGCTGACCCTGTCCATCGCTGCTCCGGGAATCTAAACAACAAATATCACATAACAGAAAGTAAATTGCATGAAGACAAACTACATTTTTTTTGTAGGAGAATTTTTCATAAAAGATATGCCCATAAAAACAACAAAGAAATCTCTTTTACATCACATTTGAATAACATCAACACCAACTGACAACATCTCTTGTTTCAGGTAATTTTTTCCCAATTCCAATTGTGCTAGAAATTGGTTAAAAATACTTTAGAGACTTCAAAAACAAAATTGAACCATTACATAAATAAAATGAATCTTGCAGTTTTGAATAACCATTAAAAATTGCAAGTTGTTGCACAGGAGCTAGCAGATGGGTGGGGAGAAGGCGGCACAGGGAAGCTAAGAAGATATACTGGGGAAAACAAAGGGGGAGGAAACACCACGGAGCTGAAAATACTTCTAATACTAAAGAAACACTAAGACTAAAGAAAACCTGATAAGCTGCAAGAGAAAAAGACCTGAGTGAAAAAATAAACAGAAACAAGGCTAATCTAACAATAAGAACTAAGGAACGTAGAACTAGAGTATCTAGAAGGACTAAACAAAGAAATAACCTAACTAGAATCACTAAAGATTGACATAGAATCAGTCAAAGTACTAACTAAACCTAAAGTGACAAAATAAGAAAACTAGAAATACTATGAGGGGAGCTAGAAGGACTTAAGAAATAACCCAACTAGGATGCTGAAGGAAGATGGGCATGAAGCAGACATAACAGAACTAAACCTACAGTAACCAGATAAGAAATGCTTCAACCACTATGGGGGAAGCTACAAGGACTGACTAAGAAATAACTTAACTGGAACCACTAAAAGAAGGTATACATAGACTCAGACATATAAGAATAACAGAACATAGAGTAACTAAAAAACAAAACGCTATGAAGGACTGGAAATGAGGAAAGCAATAACAAGACAAGACAATTCTAACCACAATAAATAACCTCAAATAAAACTAAAATGACCACGAAGGGCTCACCTAAAGTCAACTAAAACATGCTGCTAAAAAGATGAAAAGCAAAACCAATCCCAAAAACACAGAGTCCTGACAGTCCCAACTAATTTTTCATTTTGTTTTGCTTGATGATTTATTGCACAATGAGAAAACTGGTTTAAAATAAAAAAAATAAAGCCAATTTGAAAATGAAAACTTAAATTAACGTCTATAAAACCTAAGAAATCCAGAAACAAACATAAATTTTAAAGCTGAAATGGAAAAGATAAAACATTCCAAATGCCTTAAATCTAAAGAATATTTTAAAAGCAACTCATTTGAGTGTTAAATGGAACTAGTCTTATTTTTAATACACAAAGCATAAGTCTGATGTGCAAAAAATGTAAGTATGCAAAGCAAGGTTTTATTTTCAGTAATTAACACATCAATAAAATCAGTTAACACTGCAGAAATATCCAACAGCATATTTAACTGTATCACTAAAAGCTACTTTTACCCACCTTGCTGTCAAGACAGAGCCAACAGTGGTAGATTGATCATCGGACAGTAAATACAGACACTGATAAACTGCCTTCTTTCTGCTCAGTTTCAATTCGGCGGCCCTCCTGAGGTGATCTTCATGGTTTATTCACACTTGAGTAATCTTCAGCTGCTATTGTATTGTAGTGACGGAATGTTAACCAACAGTTTCAACATGGCTGACCACAACAACAGTCTGCTTAATTCTGTTTCCCACCTGTCAGTCTATTGAAAACAAATCAACAGCAATGGCTTTTTAGATAACATCTTAATGCATTATGAATCAATGCTCCAAGGTACAAAGCAAACAGAAAAAAAATACACTCAGTAATGTATTGACGAACAGCGTGAACAGCTTAACATATACAACTCTGCTGTCCGAAATTCAAGAAATTAATATTTTGCCAAAATAATTAACAGAAACAAAAACAATAAAGTTTTGTTTTCGACCATTGATAATCTGATTAATCCTAAATTTACTGACTATTCACAGACTACAACTGACTCTCTTTGTGAACAGTTTGCAAATCACTTCAGAGGAAAGATCGAGTGAATTAGCACTAGCTTTTTATCTGAGCAAAATACTGGTTTTAAGTCTACTGAATGTTTTTTTTAACCTCTGGAAACACTGGACAATTTTGCTGTGGTTGATGCAAGAGATGCTCAGCAAAGTTTTCTCTCAAATCAAACCAACCACCTGCGTCTTGGACCCGATTCCCTCATTACTTTGTCATTCATTTAATATTTGTTTTCAGTATGAAATTTTTAAGTATTGTAAATTGCTCTCTTCAGATGGGTGTCTCCACCATGTCCTTTACAATGTCAGTGGTAAAGCCCCTTCTGAAGAAGAGTAATCTGGATTGTAGTGATTTTAATAATTACAAACCTGTATCCAGCTTACCATTTTTAAGTAACGTTTTAGAAAAGCTTGTTTTTATCCAATTAAATATTTTTTTAAATGACACTGGCATCTTAGAAAAGTATCAATCTGGTTTTAGGATAAACCACAGTACAGAGACAACCTGGGTCTGAGTACCACCTTTGATAAAGTGGATCACCAAATTCTTTTAAACAGATTACAGCATATGGTGAAACGTCTAGTGAGCTTTCGGAGTCTTTTGCCAACTGCCATAAAAAAGAAGTAGTGCTGAATGTTTGCGGAAGTAAAAGTGGATGCTATATTACGATTTTGAAGATGTTGTCCGACCGAAGCCTTCTGGACTGCTCTGCATCCCCAGAACCAGAACCAAGCGAGGAGAAGCAGCATTCAGTTTCTATGCACCACAGATTTGG